TTCAATTGTCTCAACCTCTGGTGCATCAGACACCATTGCCATGTTCGAATTGGGGGGAGCTAGTCAGCCTGACAAAGCAACGCAATGCCAGCTCCACTTGAAACTCCAAGCTGCTATGAGCCATCAAGTTGCAAAACGACAAAAGATTGCAGCACTTGATGCTGCTCTGACAAACATATTTTCCAATTTCACTGTCATTATTATTATTTATTATTTCTATTACAGCGCCCAATTGGTCGCTACCTACATATTCATATTTAATAAGCGCCCAAACGGTCGCTAACCTACATAGGGAAGATAACCGAGGCAAACCGTGCAAATGCCAAAACTGAATTCTGAGCTGCTGTTTCTGATTCTGTGACTGCTCATGCCTTTCTGACACAACAACTTCAAATGGATCCCTCATGCCATTTTTTTTTCACTGAAAAGCATTGCGCAACGCATGCAACGCATTGTAGAAAAAAACGTTCTGACCTGCTCTCTTGCCTCTTCTGCGTCCACTTTTGGGAGCTGGGTTTTCTACAGGTCTAAGAGCTGGCACTACCCTAGGTGCTGCCTTTGAAGAAGGAGAGATCGATGAAGTAGGCTGGCTTTCAGCTGAAGGTTTGCTACCCGAAGCTGATGCAGTCGAACTTGGGATGCCTTCGTCATGAGCAGGCATTTCAGCTGGTGCGGCTGACTGGTCAGCTGACTGCATACCACCAGTTTCATCTCCTCGACTTCGAACTTCTCGACTAGAATCGTCTGGTGACAAAGGCCTCTTCAAGGCATTTGCTGCAGCAGGGCCAGGTTGTGCAGGCTGACTGGGTTCTGAAGATACCTTGGAGTTCCACAAACATTCCAAGGAATCATAGTGGCGTCCTTTGTGAGTCACTGGGCGCTTCTGAAGCTTCTGCTCGAGGATGCGCAAGGTTGCAGCGGCAGCAAGTTTCCTTTGACGCTTTGACAGTTTCCGATTGGAATCTGACTTTGACTCAGTGGAGGACAGGTCGTCAGCCATGGCAGGAAAAACTGGCAGCACAGAGACGCAGAAACAGAGCACTGGAGAGAAAAAATAATAGGTCAATGAAATGGGAACTTCATAAGAAGTGACTAGTTGGGTGCACCTGCTGCTCCTACCTGATGCTCAAGTCAATTTGAGTTTATCTGAATTGTTTCCTGCCACTGCCTCGTCTCATGGGCCTGGTGAGCCACAAGATAAACGGTTCATCTGACTGACTGGCATGCCCAAAAAAATTCCACACAGTGAGCCACCAGATAAACGGTTCATCTCACTGACTGGCATGCCCAAAAAAAAATCCACACAGTGAGCCACCAGATAAACGGTTCATCTCACTGACTGGCATGCCAAAGAAAAATCCACACAGTGAGCCGCCAGATAAACGGTTCATCTCACTGACTGGCATGCCCAAAAAAAACCACAGTGAACCACAAGAGAAACGGTTCATCTCACTGACTGGTATGCCAAAAAAAAAATCCACAGTGAACCAGAAGAGAAACGGTTCATCTCACTGACTGGTATGCCAAAAAAATCCACACAGTGACCACTAAACGGTTCATCTCACTGACTGGCATGCCCAAAAAAAAACCACAGTGAGCCAGAAGAGAAACGGTTCATCTCACTGACTGGTATGCCAAAAAAAAAATCCACAGTGAACCAGAAGAGAAACGGTTCATCTCACTGACTGGTATGCCAAAAAAAACACACAGTGACCACAGATAAACGGTTCATCTCACTGACTGGTATGCCAAAAAAAAAATCCACAGTGAACCAGAAGAGAAACGGTTCATCTCACTGACTGGCATGCCCAAAAAAAACCACAGTGAACCACAAGATAAACGGTTCATCTCACTGACTGGTATGCCAAAAAAAAAATCCACAGTGAACCAGAAGAGAAGCGGTTCATCTCACTGACTGGCATGCCCAAAAAAAACCACAGTGAACCACAAGATAAACGGTTCATCTCACTGACTGGTATGCCCAAAAAAAAATCCACAGTGAACCAGAAGAGAAACGGTTCATCTCACTGACTGGTATGCCAAAAAAAACACACAGTGAGCCACAGGATAAACGGTTCATCTCACTGACTGGTATGCAAAAAAAACACAGTGAGCCACAAGATAAACGGTTCGTCTCACTGACTGGCATGCCAAAAAAAAATAATCCACAGAGAAAACAGTTGATGCATTCCCCTTACTGTAAGCGCTGGGGGTCAAGCGCTGCCTATTAATATAGTTTTGGACTGTGCCCAGGTAATGGTCGTCCCTAACACGCTAACAGCAGTTCAGATGAAAAAATCGAGGGACAGCAAGACTGACTGTGAAAGCTGCAGCTGTATCTCTGTGGGTGGCTTCCTGCTCTATCCCAGGATGGCCTCTTAAAAACCATTGTTGTCAGAGAAATGTGTGATCAGGTAGCTGCAGTTCAAGCTAAGCTTATCCAACAGATCTCTGCACACTTGACTGTTTTCAGCGGCTATCCCAGGAACGACCGTGAAATCCAGGTCGAAATTTTTGTTGGCCAGATCCCCATCGAGATTTCAGGGGATATCCCAGGATATCCCGTGAAAATTGGTGAAGCTAATCCATGTGAAGTACATATTTCAGAAGAGAAAAAAACATATCAATGTAAACAAAATGCTGCCCGTTTTTTTCTACAAGGTTTAGGGTTTAGGGTTTAGCCTTCTACTGCAAAATCATGGATGCTTCAAGTATGTTCAAAAAAAAACTTTCACAGAGTTGGAGGCCAGAAGCTGCCCTGTTTTCCTTTTACTCAGCGGTAGTGGTTAAAAAAAAAACTTTCACAGAGTTGGAGGCAAAAAGCTGCCCTGTTTTCCTTTTACTCAGCGGTAGTGGTTTAAAAAAAAACTGTCACAGAGTTGGAGGCACGAAGCTGCAGTGTTTTCCTTTTACTCAGCGCAGTAATGATTTCAAAAAAACTTTCACAGAGTTGGAGGCAAGAAGCTGCCCTGTTTTCCTTTGACTCTACGCAGTAGTGATTTCAAAAAAATCTAAAGACAGGAAAACAAAATCGCTTCGCAGCATCACTTCTTCTGGTTTTCCTGGGGGTCATTTTGGAAAGACCACTGCTGCTGCCAGTCCCGGCGCCAACGATAGCGCCCTTGAAGCAACTTCCAACCATCGTGGCTGGAATGGATTCTCTTGTATGTTGTCCAGTCAGCAGTCGACACCCGTTCCAACCTTGCTGCTTCACAGCATGAGTTCCACAAAAAAAAAATGTCTCTAAAATAATAGGTTTGTTCCTAACAAAAAAATGTTTGTCCCTAAAATAAAAGGTTTGTTCCTACTTGGGTTTGTTCCTAAAATATAAGGTTTGTTTCTACTTGGGTTTGTTCCTAAAATAAAAGGTTTGTTCCTACTTAGGAGATCTCCTAAAATATAAGGTTTGTTCCTACTTGGGTTTGTTCCTAATATAAAAGGTTTGTTCCTACTTGGGTTTGTTCCTAACATGAAAATGTCTCGGTTGTTCCTAAATTTTAAAGATTTTGTTTGTTAAACTGAAGGATTTCTCCAAACATGTTCTCAAACTCATCATCAGCATGATCGCATATCTCACAAGATAAACCAAACTGCTCCTTGTCAGAGAATGTTCGCCACAGTGGCACAAAACGGTAAAGAAAACAATTTGCTAAATGGTAGCAATTTATCCATGGGAGATTGACAAATTAGCACAAGGGAGACACACCCGGGTGCTAAGAAATAAAGAATGATAGTTCAAAAGCAAGGAACTCTCCAGCTGCATTGACCATCGGGAAGGTCTCATTGCGGTCTTTTTCAACAACCCATTCATGGCGCAGCTCGCGACAGTACTCCGTATAGGTTTGGCCTTGTGCATTTTTCAACTCCCCCTTTGGAAAAAAACGCTCCAACTCAAGGAGAGCCACCGTGCTCTGGTCTGATGGGCTTGGTAGCATTGCAGCCGCAGCTGGTCGGCACATAGGAGCAGGTGCTGCCATCAGGGAGGCTGGTCTTTTCATGGTGCGAGGCAGGACTGTTTCTTTGATCCAAAAAAAACTCACAAACAATCGAGTTTCCAACAAAATTTCCCTTGAAAGAGGTCCTCGGGGTGAATGGGGTCCTGGGTCCGCGCGCGCGCGCGCGCATGCTAGCTTCAATTTGGAGCCCTTGACGCGCGCGCGCGCGCGGACCCAGGACCCCTTTCACTCCGAGGACCCCTTTCAAAGGAAATTGTGTTTTCCTCGGGCAGGACTGTTTCTTGGCCAGTAGCGCTTCAATCACAAAGCGACATCTCAAACATGTTTTTTTTTATGTCTAAGACACTTTCTTTGCCAAAGCACTTCAGGATTCAATCACAAAGCGACATCTCAAACATGATTTGGCTAATGTCTAAGAAAGTTTCTTTGCCAAAGCACTTCAGGATTCAATCACAAATCAACATCGCAAAGCAATCTGCAGCAAGGCATCTCATTTTCTCTTTTCAATCCAAATGCAAAATCTTGAAGATTGGCTGGGGATATTCAATCAACATCCTCAGCGTCAGCTTTAAGCTGACAAATGTGGCCAGCTGAATCCAAAACGTAACGACGCCTCTTCTGTTCCACCCAGGCTCGACATTGAAGGCACCCAATCCTGGCGCTTCTGCACCTGGAGCATCCATAGCGCTCGATCTTCTCTGAATCTGCCTAGCGGGCCAAGCCAAATTGGTGACTTTACGTGGTCATAAATGTGTTAGGGATATTATTATATGATATAATTATAAAGCGTCCTGCGCTACCTACTTAATAGGGGACCCATTATAGAGCGCTCTGCGCTACCTACGATGCCAAAAATCATAATACATATTATAATATATCAATGGATCGCCAGCTCTGATGCAACTGCAGCAACATTGTCTGAATTTCTGATCACCGACTGTTTCTTTCCCTTTACATCTTCAAGATAGTGGTATACCTTGACATTGAAAAGTTTGAAGTCTCGCCCCTAGCTGAAACAGAAGTCCAATAATATTGTCATAGACATCATATCAGAGTCTCCGAACATTGACATGTGTAATTCCCTAAAGAAGCCTCAACCACATGTGACTCCGGAGGAGCATTGGCACGGTCTGAGGGTTCTGCAGCCGCGGGTCTGCGCATGGGCGGTCGCGATCCAGAAGGTGCTGCAGCAGGCTTGGCCGCCGCGGCTACTGCAGCGTCTGCTGGTGCTGCAACTGCAGCACCTGGCAGAGCTGCTGCAGGTCTTCTCATCTTCGTCTGTCGACATGACTTGGCTGCAGCAGCAGGTCGCTTCAGCAACACTCTGACACGACGAGGTGCCGGATCCGGCTGAAACAGGGCTTCATCTGGCAAATCTGTGACGATCTCAGGCATTTCATGCTCCTGCAAAACCAAAGAAAAGACTGGAGGCTCCTTGGACAGCCGATGCTTGTTAGCATGGCACAAGCCTTCCAGCCATGCCTGCGCCTCAAAGAGTCTCCATGGATCCGACGACACGGCTTGAGCAGTCTTCAGGTACTGCTCCAACTGATCTTCAGACCACTGCCTTCTGTCGGCAATCGTCAAGAGGTCCCGCTTGAAACTGCCAAGAAGCTGAGCTGGAAGCATCAGCTGAGGTGGTTGCGACGCTTCGGCCGAGGACATGAACCTGGCAGTCTGAAAAAAAATACATTTCATTGCAGCAGCGGTGAGAACCTGGTAATTCAACCATGGGACGGTCCAAGAACTAAAAGGTACAACATTGACATACTGAAACGACTTTGAAGAACAGGAAAAAACCAAGGCACTGCTTGAGAATCAGCACAACATCCCTGGGGTCTTCAGGAAAATCCTTCCAGTTTGGGTTGTGGTTCTCCACCATTTGGGCACGGTCAATTTGCTGTCGCAAGACAAAGCGCCAAACATGGTTTGAATCAGGCTGAAGGTGGGTCGCTGTGAGCCCTTGCACGTGCATGCTCAAATGTTCAAAGAAAGCTTGCCAATCCCTAGTAGCATCCAAGACCTCCACCTGCATCTCGGTTGCCATTGCTGGCTTAACATGGTGCGTCATGTAGTTGGCAAATTGCAATGGCGTTTCCAGGGTGCCAGCCTTGTTCAAAATCGTCGCAACGCTTGAAAAGCGCTGATCCAGCTCATTCTTTGTGTGGCCAGTGACCATAAACTGAAACTCCACTGAATCAAATAAACCCCTTCCCACAAGGAAGGCACCGAATTGGGCCAAATAGGCATTCTTCGTCTCCCTGGTGCAATTGTCCGCTCCAATGATGAGATGTCTTGGCAAGCAATAATCTGGTCCTCTATTTTCGACAACAAGTTGGCATCTGTCCAAAAGGTGGGCCAAGCAAGTTGCAACCATGTTGCTGTCCTTCTTGGTGTCAGGCGCAAGAATATAATAAACCTCGCAGAGGCCAATTGCCACAGCTCCAGTGAGATGCAAGGCCGGCCTTTGGACATTGGCGAAGGCTGCATTGGCTTTCAAGTTTCTGGGACATCGAAATTTTGCCTGGTCCATCCCGTCCACCAACACCTTGAGGAAGCTAGTCGAGGAGTTCTCCATCTTAAAATTTGAATCCTGCTTTGACAATCGGTTGCCCCTGACATTGACAGATCGGTCCATGTCACATCTGTTGAGGTGCTGCTGCTTCAACTCGTCAATCTCCTGGCGCTCCTTCTTTGAAGTCAGCTGCGAACGCCTCTCATCAAAATCAGCACAAACTTGACATCGTACTCCTTGACCATAACCCTTGAAGCATAAAATCCTTTTCCAGTGTCGATTGAAAGCTTTGGTGAAGGTATCCCGGGACACACGTGGCTCATCCGACTTGTTCAGCTCGTAGACATGCCACAAAGAAGCCAAATTCTCCTGATTGAGGAAGCGCTTCGGGACCAATGCCCCCTGGTTGCCAACACCAACAGACATTGAATATAGTGGATGGCTAACATCGTGGACAACTTCATGCACTTGATCTGCATCAGGAAGTTCTTCCACATGGCGATGGCCACCATCTTCCACTGGTGTCGGCTCTGCAAGACCTGTATATAAGTTAAGGAACCAAACATCAGCCTCATCCATGCGAGGCTTCTCCTTGGGCATCCGGGCGCCTTTTTCAGGGAGAGCAGCATGTCCAAGCTTAGCCAATTTCACCATGTCGTCCACTTGTTTGTGGCCTACTGAGTGGCAATACTCCCAAAAGGGCCTGCACACTTTTTGGCCACCCATTTGCCAATCTATGCGAGCAGTCTTTACAGATAAAGCATCCACGAAAGATTTCACCTTTCCAAATAAATTCTGGAGTCGAACCTGCTGATCCTTCAAATTTTCAGCACGTCGATGTTCGATTTCTGCTTCATCAAACTTCAGGTAACATTGCAATCGGCAGCTGCAATGCTTTTGAAGATTTCCAGGCTCAGCATCAGATTGAACGTCAGAGGGAAGACTTACGGATCTTGCTTCAGATGCGTCTTTGTTATCATCTTCAGATTCAACATCAGGAGGCAAGCTTGGTGCATCAGACAGCGTATCTGACATTGCAGCAGAGAGTTCAGTGGAAAGTGCCTAAGGTAGCGGCATTCTCACCATCATGATCATGGTCAGCCTATAAAAACTATCGCAAAAACACTCACACATGAATTTAATTATCTGCTACATCATGTTAAGTTACGTCATGCTTTTTTTTGTCCGCTGACTCGTGTTGAGCTGTCAAACGTCATTTTTTGAAAACGGCTGCAGATTGCACCGAATGGAAAAACGTTTGCACTCGAAACAAACCAAAATGAAATGATCCGTCTCAGAAAATGACCTCTGCATGCAACGTGGTGGCACTACAGCTGGCACTAAAGCGGCATGCCTCTAATTTTTTTCCATCCTCATTTGAAGTCAAAGTCAAACTCAGGGTTATATTCTCCTTCCGGTTCATGAAGCAATCCCAAGATCTTCAGCCGCAAGTTGTCCAGTATGGCCTCGACGTGCTCCATGACTGAAGCCAAAGCTTCGGAACAACGCCAGTTTGTCTCCCACTCATCAATGTAGTGTAACGCCAGTCTCAAATCGCTGGCCAAATGCTGCAAGCGAGGCACCGTATACGATTGAGCTGCAATCAAATCTCGGAAGCGTCTCTTGTCACCTTCAGTCTCCCTGAGCACGGCCACTGGAATGTGAGTCGAACTTCCACGGACGATGACGCCACGAAATGTCGCCACAAAAACTTCGGCACGCATCAGGTCCAGCGTCTCTTGGAAGTTGTCAGTCAACTTGCGCGCAGCAATGCAGCATTCTTTCAACAGTGCCATGCCAAAATCTGCCATGAATTTTTTTTCCTCCTCTGACAACATAGAAATGGTCTGGAGGAACAGAGGCAACAGGTTCCACTGCTCTGCATGCAGCCACACTTGATGGTAAGCCATTGAATTGATAGCAGCAAGATCGCTATGATATGAAAAACGCGGTTTCGAGGTCTCTGGAAAATTAGCTGCGCGAGAACACAGAATGTTTAAAAGCGCTTCAAGCGCTACTATTAATTAATTATAATATAGCGCCCAAGAAGCTGCTACTATTAATTATATATAGCGCAAGATGCTGCTACCTATTATTATTATAGAGCGAAGAACAGGCGGCTGCAAACCAGTGCAAATCATGCAAATAGTGATGCTGACACTTCCACGCACAAGAGGCAACATAACTGTGAACAATGATCAATTTCTCAACGGAAGATTCTGAAAGATCAACATTCCTTTCGTTCTCACAAAAAATGTCACTTCCAGTGAGCCCCACCCTCTCCTCATATTGACAGCCATTTTCTGACATATCATCTGACATTGGCTTTGGCATCTCCTTCTGACATTTAACCCAATCTCCTCAGTGTGAAATATTCTGACGTGGTGCTTGCTTTTCCTTTGGCATCGCAACACTCTAAATTTACAAACCAAGAATCTGAGGTGCCAGTGCTTTGCACAAAACAAACACCTACCTCAAAAAAGTTAACACCTACTGGAAGCCAAAAGTCCTTCAAGGTCATCACAGATGTGTGAAGAAAAGGGTGAGCAAGGAGAACAACAGCTACCTTGCTGTTTTGAAGCCAGGAGAAACACCTCGCCACTGCCTAGGCGAAACAGATGGACGCGTTACAGTGGCTGGCGGTGGTGTCATGTGGTTCCCACCTATCAGCAGACAAACTCAACATGTACACACACGAGACGTGTGACTGGCTATCTGCCTGCGAGGGTATCCACCTCCGTCCAAAACGCGACGGACGACCAGGTTGTCCTCGTGCGCGCTTTGGTTCAGCTGCTGCAAGCAGTAATCGCGTCAAGCTGTTGCAGGACAATCTCGGGACTGACAAAAGTTTTAGTTAGGCTCGCCATGACATTACACACTTGGTCACGTATTGTGATGCGGTGCATATCGTCGAATCATTGTCTCACAGCTATGGAATATTTCGATTTGACAACCTTAGCGATTTGCTTACACTGTTCAAACATATATATTATATATGTAACTATTGCCCGTTCCTATTATAATATTCTCAGGGGCTAGCGGCTAGGATGGTTCCCCCACCTTGGCGGGGGGCAGGTCGGTTCGTCGCCTGACTCAGCACCTCCGTGAGCAACTACTCCAAGGCAGGCTCTTGCCTCTGGGCTGCAGCTCCAGTTCCGGGAGTTTTGATGATGAGTTTTTTTTTTAGAAATTTGCTTTCAACGGACTTGGAAGCCGGTTCCCAACGACACAAACACACACACTCAATCACCCACACACAAACACACACACACTCAATCACTCACTCACTCACTCCCTCACTCCCTCCCTCCCTCCCTCCCTCCCTCACTCACCCTCTCACTCAGTTCGCTTCACTTCCATCATCATCATCATCATCATCATCATGATCATCATCATCATCATCATCATCATGATCATGATCATGATCATGGTCATGATCATCATCATCATCATCACATCATCATCATCATCATCATGTGCCAGCGATGTTTACCAGCCACAGGGCATGCAGAAAGAATTCACAAAATGTGCGGCTGCGCTCGAAAGAGTGCAGAACATTACTTTGGTCAGCGAAAGTATGGTGAGCACGCCATCGTTTTGATAGTGTGTCGGAAGGCTGGAAAGGCGAGGCCGTTTCGAATGTGTGTTAAACATGTATGGTGTTGAATATGTCAGGCACACCAACAGTGTGTTGCTCACATTGACGTGTGGGGTTTTTGCTCCCCACATTGACTTGACTTGGTGTAGGTTATTGAAATCACTTTTAAGTTATGCCATGCAGTTATGATGTTTCCGGTCTGTGCCGGGAACGGAAAAGAGAACGCAGACACTCACTCACTCACTCACTCACACACTCACACACTCACTCACTCACACTCACAACTCACACACACACACACACTCACTCACTCTCACTCACTCACTCACTCACTCACTCACTCACTCACTCACTCACTCGCTCCCTCGCTCCCTCGCTCCCTCGCTCCCTCGCTCCCTCGCTCCCTCGCTCCCTCGCTCACCCACTCACTCACTTCACTTCACTTCACTTCGCTTCGCTTCACTTCACTTCACTTCACTTCACTCACTTCACTCACTCTCACATCCCTCACTCACACACACCACACTCGCATCACTCACTCACACTCTCACTCACTCACTGTACATGAACATACATACATACACACAAACTCACCCACCATCACCGCTCCATCACTCTTATACTTCCTCTTCCCTTCTTGCTCTTCTATGGTCAGTCTAAGTCTAAAGAAGTTGGTAACATGTGGGGTTATCCGGTCCTTTAATGACAGTTTGACGCTGTGTGGGTTTGTTTCTGAGTTGTGCCAAGGCTCAGTGCTAACGCATCACTCTTTTGCCTCAAAATGCTTGCATTTAACCTCGTGAAACGCCGCATGGATGCGGCAGGTGCAATCCAACACCATCCCAGCCCGAAAGGTGGAAATCCGAATCCACTGTGCTGAATGGACCCAAGACTGGCATTACGTACACTATCATAAAACATACGTTTGCCATCACTTGGCAACATTCAACAGCGACATGCTGTGGCTAACACGACCATCACAACATATATATCACAACCATTGTAATCAGAATAATTAGCACAGAGATGTACATAGGGCGCGTATCTGTCGCAGAAAATTTGAATGCACTACTGACATCTACTGACTACACACGGAGCAAGAGTACACAAGAGCAATGCATATTCAATCATATTCATATTCCATTCCATCCTGTTCTTATTGCTTACGGCTTGCAGTACGGCCATGTACGGCCTGTCAGGTCGACCAATCAATGATACTAGGAACTTCCTGGGCGTTTCGTCGCTAAATTACTTGGCACTTCATAAGGCCAGTAGAGGGATGTAGAGGGAGTAATGAGCAAACGTGACAAACAAGGTGCTACACATGTTGAACGCTTCGACACTTCTTGGTTGATGATCCAAGGAACCACTGGATTGATTGCGATTGTTTGCATTTGGCCCAGAAATCCCAGAAGGAGAACATATCAGATTGGGATGATGGGATGGTAGTTACAATATGTTACAATGGTAGTTTGATGATGTTCGATATAGTTCGGGATCCTGCACCGTCTTGGTCCAGCAACTGCTTCTCAGTCTCTCTTTGCGCACTGCCCAGCGCTGACTGCGCTGCTGCTAAATTGGCGACAGCAGGCCGCGTCTGATCAAGGGAACAAGTCTTCGGAAACAACTAATCCACATAGATCATCATAGATCCACATTGCAAACACGAAAAATGCAAAAAACATCAAAAAACGATGCGCGCGCACACATTGTGTGACATGCACCCATGCAAAGGGACAGCGAGCATGACATGAAAAATGAAACAGGAAGACACCTTACGGCCACACCCTCAGGTAGTATGCGCAAATCGATTTCAGCATTTATTCCTGACAATCTCTGGAACATATGATGAAAATATGGGGTGCTGTTCCCCAACCCTTGGCCAAATTGACACAAATCATGATGCCAATCCTCATGAATCCATTCCTTTCATTTTAAACTTTTGCATCAGCCATTTGCGCAGCAAACCTCTTCGAAGGCGCTTTGCAAAGCCGCAGAATCAAGCCTCAGTTGCAGTGTAAATGAACATGTCCGTAACAGTGCCGTTGTTATTAGTAAATAGATTTTAATAGTTGGTGGGTGATCTAAATTCCTTTATCTGCCAACGGCCATTCTTCGCGAAGAAAACAATTACTTTCGCGAATCTTTCGCGAACCCCACGTTGATCTACTGTTAAGATCTTTCGCTAAATCTCTTGCTCCCCAAAAAATTACACTTTCGCGAAGTCAGAAAAAACGTTCTTGGGGTCTCATGCTGGAACCCTGGCGGCCTTTGTAATGGACAATCTCCACATGGAATTACATGGACTTTTAAATCGACAATCAGTTGTTGCCTTTGGCGCGATATATAAATGTCCGTTAATCCAACTTTCTTCCTTGTTCGTGGCTTTTGCTGCTACTGTGTCATGCCGTTACGGACATAATAAAAAGATATAAAA